ATTATGACCTGCAGATGAGAGTCCCATTTTAAGTGTTTGTTAAATTAAAGGTAAGGGGACGTCCATTAATTACGTGAGGTTTTTAGGCCACTTTTTTACATCCTCCCACCCCCCTGGTAATATACAGGGTGGTCCGAATTTTATGCAGGAATCTTCGGGGGTAGATAGATCTCTTTAAAATAATAGGTGTTTGCCTTATAAACATAGATCTGGAACGGCACCGTTTTAGAGATGCAGGGTGTTGAAGTTGTCAAAAAATATTGATTTTTTGTTTATATCTTCGGAATCTATTAACCGATCTCAATAAAATTTGGTACATATAATGTATGAAGTAGGCCTTATATTCCCTGAAATATGAGCTTTAAAGGTCCAACCAGTGGTGTACAACTGGACAGGGGTCACCCCATTTTTTACAGAGAAACCTACATCACTGCATTTTTTACATGATTTATAATCTAACTGATTTATATTTTAATGCACAAAATACGTAAAAATGGTGTCTTTAATTTGTTCCCTAAGATTCGCCGTTCTCAAGTTATTCATACCAATACCATCCCCTTGTGGCAGACACTTCTAACGATAATATTACAAGAATATTTGTTTATGTTTAAAAGTAAGTACAATTTGTAAGCACATCAACAAAATTATTTACACTCCTTTCTACACCACCTGTGAGGTAGTGTGCGATATAAACAAAAAATCAATTTTTTTAAAAACCTCAACACCCTGTATCTCTAAAACGGGGCCGTTCCAGACCTATGTTTATAAGGCAAACACATATTATTTTAAAAAAGAGATCTATCTACCCTCGAAGTTTCCTGCATAAAATTAATAAATAATAAGTGCGCCAAATTTCAGGGGGTGATTCTATATGAGAAAATAATGGCAATTTGCTTATAAACATATGTCCGCAAATGATTCGTTTTCCGAGAGAATGATTTAATTTATTGCTCTGAAACCGGTCGAGATGTGCAAATGAAATTTGATGGGTTTTAAGAGGTAGTCACTGCGCATTTTTTGACACGCAATTCAGAATTTTATGTTCATCATCATGTACGGGTAATAGTCTCAATTTTTTTAAAGAAAAAAAATTGTACGCCACTGAGATATTACAAATTAAAAATTATTATTCAATTCCTCGTTCAATTTGTGACAAAAAATTTCTCTTGTCTTTTCTTCGTATGGGGCGCCGTTTTGATGCAAAAAAATAAAACATCTTAACGAGTATTTTTTATTTCTTTAATACATTACCTAGTAGGCTACTGTCAATATTTATCTGTTAAATACGAATATTTTTAAGAAATGTCAAATTAGCGTTTCGTCATTATTAATTTATTAAGCTTTTAGTTTGCTATAACATTAGTGTTTCTTCATCTTCATCATCTTCATCTTCATCTAGTGGTTGGTCCTTTAAAAAGTCCCATAGCACTGCGGCCTAATTAGGCCTATTGTGCGTCCCACTACTAGTCCTATTCAGCAAGTAGATTTGTCCTTTTTACAAAGTCCAAAAGCTTCCTTGCTGACACTTCTCTCAG